ATGGCATCGGACGAAATGGCGATTGTAAACCCTTTATTGCGTGCAAGATGAAGACAGGACAGGAGATTGCTTCGCAGATCAGGCACATGCAGCACCCTGGAGAACTCCACAGACCGCACAAATGCTCCCTTCACCCTAGGCCTGAAGACGACCGACCCCACACCAGCAGAATAGACAACCTTGTTGTCTGCCAACTTCACAGGCAAGCGCAGTGGCTTGTAATTGCGAAGCCAGTGGCGATGAGGCGTCATATGAGAAGTGGCGCCTGTGTCTGCATTCCAGGTGAAGTCAGCATCAAGCTGAAGCGGTGTAGAGGGCGAAGAGGGCTCAAGGGAGTGTGAGGAGAGGGCACTTGCATTTGCAGCGGATTCCTGGGCAGGTTCTGCAGGCTTCTCCTGCGCAGTGGCAGCCTTCCCTTTGCCTCTGGTAGTGCGGCGCTCCTTGGCCTGCTTCTGGGCCTTCTGGAACGAGTAGCACTGTGGCTGGGAGTGGCCAGATGCGCCACAGAAGTCACAGGGGCCAGAGGACGATGAGGCGACTGCTAGGGCAGACTGGGAGGCAATGGTGGAGTCATGGCGGCGCTGGGCATCCTCAGTAACAAAGGCCTGGATGACAGTGGCCTTCTTGAGGTCGCCATTGAGCAGCTGAGTGCGCAGGAGGGCAAAGTCCTCGCGAGGGAGGGCCAGGATCATAGCCATGACAGTGAGTTCACTGTCAAGCTCGTCCAGAGTGTACTTGTCAGGGCGCAGATTCTTGCATTGCTGCATGGCGTCTTCAACGCGGTTAATAACCGCTTGAAGCGACTCAGAATCGCTCTTCCTGATAGACAACAGGGCCTCCCAGGCATTCCAACGTCCAGCAGCATGGGGACGCTGGTGGACACCCTTGAGGGCCGCCCACATTGCAACAGGGTTGCTGTCAATGTTGGAGAAATGCACCTTTTGGTCCGCCTCAACCATGAGATACAACCACCCAGCAGCCTTTGCCTCCTCCACCTCCCACTTCTCCAGTAGTGTGGCCTCCGCTTCAGTGAGGGCTTTGGGGTCCTTGGCCTGTGGCTTGAGGTGGGCACCAGAGACAAGACGCCACAGGCCTGCAGAGCGCAGACAGGCAGCCATGTCCCCAGCCCAGGACTTGTAGTTCGAGGCATTGAGCTTGGGGAAGGAGAGAGAGGACGAGTGGTTCGACATTGTAGCCATAGATAGAGTGGCAAGAGGTAGAAGCGCAGATTGTGGCAAGAGGAAAGATGTGAGAGTGTAGGGACAAGGAGTGGTCCGAAAATTGAAGTGATTGACTCTGTGGCGCGCTAGTAGTGTGTGTAGTTGACTGCTAGAGCGCGGGGCTCATAACCTATCAAAGGGCGACGCAGGGAGCAGTTGCACAGGACTAGCACTAAAGGACTGAATGCCACAAGTGGGGCTGAAGTCGAAGTGGGTCACAGAAGTATATATTAAAGGGTCGCTACAGAGCTCTTTATATACATGAGCAAGGGAAAGCATTCCCACGGCAGAACAATAGGTAAAAGAACAATAGAATCCAAATGGAGAACAAGGGCCACTTGGCCACAGGAACAATGGAACAAAAGAAGTGTGGCCGGAGCTGTGCTCCGGTCCGAATGCTCCGCAATTGATACAACCATGTGGTCACATGGTGTTGTGGCTCCCGCCACCGGGGGATCGTCCTAGGCCGACCAGGGGACTGTGGCAGAGCACATTGTGACACACTGGACTTGAGCACACATTTGATGCTGGGGACCAAGTTGATGTTGCGCAATATGACACTACAGGCGCTCTCTTCTATGACTGTGACTGGAAACTGTGCCCCAACTGCACTCCTCAATCCATCACTGTCGAGGAAGGACACTTTAAACTGATCAGACGGGTCCAGCATCCCAAAGGGCCAGATCTCAGGTATACAACATCCCAATCTGTCTCCCGCCATGTCACACCTGTCCTGTCCTGACCAGCGTTCTCTGGCACTCGCATCCCTCAATCTATCACCAGTACAAGTCAAATGTGAGGAGACCCCGATCTTCCTTGATCAACTACAGCAGTCACTGAGCCTGCAGTGCCCATTGAAATAGAAAGTGTCCCGGAGCCTGAGCCTCCCACACTTAGCTGGGCCAGTTCGACGACTACAGTCCCCTCCTTGTCCTCAATCTCTGTTGTACATCACCCTGCCTCCGGGCTTCCTCCAGCGCCTCCACCGTTGTTGCTGCCATGAGGCCGCTCGAGCACTCACTCCTCTCGAAGTCCAAACAGTGGACAATCACAACCAACGACTCTGCCCCCGAACTGTTCTCTGTCCCCCCCACCGCTGGTAATGACAACACCAGCTTCTCCTGACAAGGAGGTGTTGAAGCATCTTCTTCCACTTCGCTACAATGGGAAGATAGTATTAGAATGCAACCATTTTGTGTCCCAGTTACAGATCTACTGGGCTATCAACACTGTCCTCTCCACATTGGAGCTCAAGGTGCAAGTTGCACTTGCCCTCCTTGATGGTGATGCCTATGCCTGGGCCACCCCACTCTTTACCCAACTTGCAGCCATCACAGTGGGTGTCCAAGGAGCCACCTTGCCATTCTCCAATGAGGATGACTTCTTCATGAAGTTCAAAGCTCAATTCAGCAACCTGGATGATGCCACAGCTACCCAGGTTGAACTCACAAAAGTCTACGACAAATTACTGCATGACAAATGCACTGCTGCCAAGTTCTTGGCACTGTTCAAGGGTCTGGTGGACCATTCCGGGTATGGTGACCTGGAACTCTGTGACAAGTACCTGAGTACAATCCCCTCCCACATCTACCACAAAATCGAGCTTGAACCATTCACCACGTGGGCTGAAGCGGAAGAACGTGTCCTTGAAGTTGAGCAGATGCTTGACATTAGCCGAGCCAGAAGACCCGAAGTTTACAACTTCTTCTTGGCTCGTCGAGGTGCATGAGAAGGATTATGAGGTGGTGCACCATCATCACATGGCACTTTGGTCAGCATCAATGTGGCTGTTGGAAAAGAAGACTTCCCTGGCAATTGCTATGGCTGTGGGAAGGAAGGGTACCATCACTTTGAGTGTCCCAACTGTAAGGACAAGCCTTACACCAAGCACACTGATATGTGGGCTACGGTTGCCTCGGGTTCCACCCAGGTCATGACAAGTGCCCCCATTGCTTCACCCTCAGCAGGTACAATTGCCACTTTAGCGAAATTAGAGAAATCTGAGCTGGCGGACTTGATGGCACAGGTGAAGTCAATGTGTGAGGAGCTCGAGCACTATTGGGTGATGAAGGAGGAGTCTTTTTGATCTGGTTTGTGCTTTGTGCCGCACGCATCAGGCCAAGGACTTCATGTAATCAGTATGATGTATTGTCTTCCGCAATGGTGTACAAGTTGGACCATGGGTCCCAGCATTTTCACATTCTGGTCTGACTCAAGGGGAAAAGACGGCACAAAGACATAATTGCTATGATGAACAGTGGGGCCACTACAAAGTTTATCAACAAGTGATTCATTACAGAAAATAAGGTGCAGATGTGGAAGTTAAAACAGCCAATTCTGGTATACAATATTGATGACACCCTAAACAAAGATGGTAGTATCTCAGAGATAGCCATCCTTGGGATGCAGATAGGAAACCATATGGAGAAAACCATATTCATGGTCACGAACACAGGTCTGGAGGATGTAGTCATTGGGTTGGACTGGCTGCATGAGCACAACCCTGAGGTTGATTGGGAGACAGGCTCACTCAAGCTGTCACGATGCCCTGAAATGTATAGTGCCAGGAAGACTGGCCGGATGGAGCAAGCAGTGACTGTGCATGATACGGGGGTCAGGCCCATGGTGCGCAGGCATTTGCCGAAGTCCAAATGGCTGGTCATATCAAAAGGCGACGCAGGGAGCAGTTGCACAGGACTAGCACTGAAGGACTGAATGCCACAAGAGGGGCTGAAGTCGAAGTGGGTCACAGAAGTATGGATTAAAGGGTCGCTACAGAGCTCTTTATATACATGAGCAAGGGAAAGCATTCCCACGGCAGAACAATAGAGAAAAGAACAATAGAGTCCAAAAGTAGAACAAGGGCCACTTGGCCACAGGAACAATGCAACAAAAGAAGTGTGGCCGGAGCTCTGCTCTTGTCCGAATGCTCCGCAATTGATACAACCATGTGGTCACATGGTGTGGTGGCTCCCGCCACCGGGGGATCGTCCTAGGCTGACCAGGGGACTGTGGCAGAGCACATTGTGACATACCCCCCCTGATCTGCCAAGTCCCACAGGGAGACTAGGACACCTCAATGCCCATCCCAGTGCGACAGAATGCGACCTTTGGAGCAGGCAACGGCTTGGTGAGACAGTCTGCAAGCATGTCTGCAGTGGGGATGTAGGAAGGCTTGATGCGCCCAGCCTCCACAGTGTCTCTGAGCCAGAAAGTGCGCAGGTCGAGGTGCTTCATGCGCCCATGGTGCTCAGGATTCTTGGACACATTGATGCTCGACTGGTTGTCCATCTGCAGGGGCGAGGGAGCGTCCACTGTGTAGCCAAACTCGGCCATGAGATTGCGCATCCAGAGTATTTCCTTGCCAGCATCCACTGCAGCAACATACTCAGCCTCTGTGGTCGAAAGTGCGACTATGGACTGGAGTTTGCTGGACCAGCTGATCGCTCCTGAGCCAACCTTGACCAGGTAGCCACTGGTGGAACGTCCAGAGTCCAGACAGTCGCCATGAGCAGAGTCTGTGAAGGTCACAAAGGGTGCACCCAGGTCGTCAGGTCTGTAGACGAGCTTGTGGTCCTTGGTGCCCTGCAGATAGCGAAAGAGGTGCTTAACTGCGGCCCAGTGAGCGGGTCCAGGACAGGAGTTGAAGCGTGCAAGACAGGAGACAGCATACTGGATGTCAGGGCGAGTGGTGATGGCCAGATACATGAGGGAGCCGACTGCATTGAGGTAGGGCTTGTCCTGCATGAAGGTGCGGTCCTCATTGCTCTGACAGGCTTGCTGCTTGGAAAGGCGAAGGCCAGGCTCCATTGGAGTCAACACTGCTTTGCAGCTGGTGAGGCCATATCGCTCCAGCATGTCCAGGATGTACTGCCGCTGTGACAGGAACATGGTGTGCTTTTTGCGGTCTCTGGTGATCTCAATGCCCAGCAGGAATGTGGTGGGGCCAAGGTTGCGCAGCTTGAAGTGCTGAGAGAGCTCCTCGACTGTCTTGTCAATGGCAGCACGCGAGGTGGAGGCCAGAGTGAGGTCGTCCACATGCACAGGGATGATAATGCGCACTTCATCTCGCAGGTAGATGTACACACTGCGGTCAGACTCGAGCCGCTTGAAGCCCATGGAGGTGAGCACCTGGTGCAGCTTTTTGTTCCACATGCGGCCAGCCTGCTTGAGGCCATAGATAGGATGGCCTAAGCGCAGGACTGTGCCAGGGGGACCTTGGGCAAAGCCTTCAGGTTGCTGCATGTAGATTTCCTCGTCCAAGTCACCCTGCAAAAATGCGGAGGAGATGTCGACTGAGTGCAGCTCCAGATCCTCAATGGCAGTGAGGGCAAGGACAAGGCGCAGGGCAGCAGGGCGAGAGGTGGGTGCAAAAACCTCGGTGTAGTCGAAGCCAGGCTGCTGTGAGTAGCCCTTGGCCACAAGTCGAGCCTTGTACCACTCAATTGAGTCATCTGCATTGTGCTTCACCTTGAAGACCCAGCCGCATCCAATGGCCTTCTTTCCAGCAGGCAGAGGGACTGCATCCCAGGTGTGGTTCGCAATCAGAGAGAGTATCTCATCATTGCAGGCTGTCTGCCACAGTTTGGCATCAGGGGAGCACATGGCCTTGCAAAAATTGTGAGGGTCAGCACTAGCTGCAAGCCCAGCAAACTGCACTTCGACGAGATCTGCCTCCTTAGCAAACAGGTCGAGGGGATCAGGAGAGTCTTCATGCTTTGCAGGGACTGGTGCATGCCTTCTTCCCCTGCGAATGGCAATGGGCAGATTGAGGTCGTCTGCTTCAGGAGAGGGTTGGTGCACAGCTTGTGGCGCAGGAGGTGCAGGAGCTTGGACAGGCACTGGAGCAACTGGAGGAGGTGCTGCTGCAGGAATTGGTGCAATAGGGGCCTGAGGAATGGCAGCAGGCACAAAGTCGTCGTCCCCCCCTTGATCCAGTGCAGGTACAAAGAGAGGGACAGGCTCAGAGGTCGGAGGGTCGACAATGGGAGTGGAAAGTGATGCAGGAGTGCGCCTCAGACCAGGGAAGAGCCGCTCATCAAACTCGGCGCGTTCTGAGATCACCACCTTCCTGGTGTCAGGGCAGTAGAACTTCCAGCCCTTGTAGCCATCAGGGTAGCCTATAAACACGCATTTCTGCATGTGAGGCAACAGACCCTTGCGCTGGTCCTTCTGGATGTGCACATAAGCAGTGCAGCCCCAGACTCGCAGATGCGCCACACTAGGCTTG